CATTTTTAACCTATACTAAAACGTATCTGTGGAAAATAGGGGGGCTAAACCTACGAAGATATGTTCAATGTCTATACTAGGTATATATTTGGAAAAAAAGTAGGGGGGCTAAGCCCCCCTAGCCCCCCGGTTCCAACGCCTATGTAGATAGAAAATATATAGAATACAAATAAAAGATAAACAATTCCAATGGAAAATTAAATATTACAAATGGTTAATTATGAAATACTTATACAAATTATACAATGCCACTGAAACATTATACAATACGAATGGATAGCTACAGAATATAAATAAAAATTATGAAAAAAATATATACAAAGTCAATACAAATGGAAAAGATCAAATATTGCAATACTTGACATGCCACAAATATATTGTCATAGACGATAACTACGCTGAAACAACTTTTGTTTTTTCTGACACTTTACATATTGAGCACTTTGCTTGCTTTCGCTTTATACTTTTTGACCCGTTCATCCGTCTGTCTGTCTAGCCGTCTATCTGTCTGTTTGTAAAAAAACAACTTTAAAACTGCCAATAACTTGATTGGTTGAAAGTATGACTTTCATATTTCACATGTGCATTCCTTGTGGCAAGGCTTTTCTTTGGCTACCCACACATGTGACATATACAAATATATATTGTTTTGGGTCTAAATATATATGACCTCTTAGTCTTAACATTAGAGTTTGACCCATATTGCAAAAAAAAAAAATTACCAGACTTAAAACTTGGCCATAACTTTTGAACAAATGGTGCTAGGGCTTTCATTCTTCTCAGATTTATTAATAGTGACAGGACCTTTCCATGGATACAAATATTTTACCTTCACCTTTGAGTATGACCCACTTAAAAAAAAAAACTTTCCATAAATTTTGAATAGTTAGAACAAGAGCCTTCATATTTCACAGTTGTATTCCTTATGTCAAGAACCTCCTTTAAATACCAACAATAATGACCTTTTAATATTGACCTTAGAGTTTGATATAAGTACTTTTGAAAAACATTAATCTTGACCATAATTTTTGAACAGTTGGGGTTTGTCTTTATTATTTACCGTTGTATTTTAAATGACAAGGCCTTCCCCTGGATACCTTTAATTGATCTTTTGACCTTGACCTTGGAGTTAAAAAACTTTTACCTTGGTCAGTTTGTACTTTGGCTTACATAACCTCAGAAGTATATTCATTTGGGTAGCAACAACTTTGATCTTGGAGATTAATTTGCAACAACTAATACGGGGCCTCAGTGTTTCACAAACATATCTTATAAAATTTTTGACAAAACAATGGAAAAAGTGAATTCATTTTATAATAAAGCTTAATTTAATATAATTCATTACAAAAAAAGTTCTACGGTTTCAGACTCAAAAGAATTCATGTTTATCAAAACCGGATGGTTCTACGCCATAGGCCAAAAGTCCTTGAATCTCCGACCTGATAAAAACGGATTCCGACAAAGATTTAATTAGTAATGTCCTATCTCACTGTCATCGCTGCATTCTACACGAAAAAGAGATTTTCATGCATCGCAAAATATCTGATAGCTTGTCCAATTTCATTACGATTTCCCTGCTGAATCTTATTCGGTATAATGGGGATACGACTTTCCAAAGCCATAGCTATTGATTTCTAAGCAAATACTAAATAGGTCTAGAAAATGGCGAAAACTACTCGGAAAGGTTTAGTTAGCTTTTGTTCAATTTTTTTCCCTGCGTGTTGGAAAACTTTTATCAGGAATCACACACTTTAGCAATGTAAGGATTTTCACTCCATTACGTGTAATATGAGAAAAATTATCTGATGGTTAATGGATGGTCTAGGAGTAAATTCACCATATTTGATTTGTCTTCAAACACTTCAAGAAAAAAAGCTTATCCGGATGACTAACAGAAAAATTGCAATGAAATGGATCTGGTACACGCAGCTTCCAGAACTGTACTTCAATATAACCCCTCCTGAAATAAGGGTGGGGTCGAATCCGTTACTGATCAATAACCAGACAACCCAAATCTATGATCGTTAGAGCAAATTTACAGTTTGTTGAAAAAAAAAGTCTCTGGATTTCTTTTCTTGTTTCAACATATTTGATTTATTAGTTGAAATACACTGAAGGATTGATTGATTGACAAGTATATTTTTTAACGTCCCTCCGTCTCGAGAACTTTTCACTCGTATGGAGACGCCACCACTTTCCGGTGGAGAGTTGCAAATTTTGTCCTACACTCGGCACTCGGGCCATTGACCAAGGAGGGATCTTTTTCGACATTTACTATTACTTCGCGACTTTAGAGCAGACGCTCTAACCACGGGTGACCACCTAACGACAGTGGACATATCTTACAGAGCTTAGTTGCGGATGTAGTTTTATGCTGCCCGTAAGAACTTTGCGCTGAGCGATTTAAAACAGTCCTCGGAGAAACTAATTCAATCATTAGAATCATGAAATATCCTCAGTAAAAATCTTGCCCCAATCCTATATTGAAGATATATTTCTCAGTTAAATAGTTATCTTTTAGCATTAGTCAAATATCTGTTTGCTCATTACTGTCGGTATACAGACATACAAACGGTATACAACGCTGAAGTTTTTTTTTTTTTTTTTTTTTTTTTAACAGTCTTCGGACTACACTTCCTCATTTTTGTGATTGGCAGAAATTTCAAGAGGAGAAAATTTTCAATCATTTCATTGATTGAAATGCCGTTTAACAAAGGGAGATAATTTTCTGATGATCTGATTTCGTACGACTTATCTATACAGTGTATTTCAAGATTTTCAATCGTAAAAATTCTGACAAAACGAACAGTGGAAATTGGCAGTAGAGTAATAACCCATAACTAGTTAGGGCTTGTTTATGCCAGTGACAAACACTAATGAAGAAATATAAAACCAAGAAATTCTCAAGAATAACTAATACAGCCTGATAGGTGTAGGTCAGTTTATGGTTGTAGCTGAAGGCGGTAAGCTTTTTTAAAAAAGCTCTACTTGGTAGATTAATTCTAATATTCTTAGGGTTGTTTTTAAAGAATGTAATGGATTCAAGCAAACACAGCCTACTAGCTACAATAAATTATTTGCTGTTTCAAAAACACACTGATATATATAGTTAATGAAATAAGCTACTCGGCAGCACTTAAAGGTAATGGAATCGGAGAAATAATGGTGACAGGAGATTCTTCAGTCCTCTCAAGTCATTCATTATGGATGAGCTCTAAGTTGTGCTGCCTTATTATGGAATCCATTAAAAAAAAAGACCTAGCTCTTATCAATTTAATTTATAATCCAAGCATTTCACATGCACTCATATCAATAGTTTCCTAGCTTCTGTTACATCAGTCGATCTCCTTCAGTTTTACCATTTATTTTCTCAAATTAATTTCGACAAGCTTTTTCATAGAAGCTTTGTCCCCCGCTTAAGGAAAAAAAGAAGAGCATGCAAGGATCTAGGTGTTTTCACTTTAAAAGTGCAAACTTTGTAAAAGCTTCTGGTGAGGGAATGCCATTCATAAATGTTAAGCAATCATTCCTCTCTTTGCATCAGTGAGTCTGAGTAAATTTCTAGTTATGGAATTTCGTTTGTTGTTTTTTTTTTATTATAATTATTTTTTTTTTTGCAAACCCTATTTCAATTAAAACATCCAAGCAAAATAAGGAATCTCCAAGAATAAGTGGAATTAAACGCTTTTAAACAACAAACCATAAATAATATGACATTGAACACAAAACTCATGGCTTCGCCCAATATGCAAATTGTCCCACGTGTCCAACTGCCGTTAATGCCCTAACATACACAACCAGCTGGACTTTGGCTCTTTAAATAGGACACTTTGAACAGTATGCTTGATATTTTATACTTATATAAAAGCAACACTTACCTCAAAACTAAGGGAGCCATTTCGGTCGTGATCGAAAGTGTTGAACACGTAGTGGGCATAAGCACTGGAATCTGAAAACAGAGCGCTGAATTCAGGAATAGATAGGTATTTATAAATTATATCACTAATTGTAACAAAATTCTAAATGATATAAAGAGCATTATGATACAAATCTCCCCTGAAGACTTAAGATCCTCCCCTGTTTTGTACTTACCGCCTTGTGGGAAGAATTGTGCATAGATCTCCTTGAAGGTTTCCTCGTTAACGATCCCGGTGGGGCACTCCTGTAGAAGAAAGGTGCTGTCTTTGAAACAAACTTATCTAAACATTCATCCTCTTTATTACCTGAATACACCGATTAGAGAAAATAACAGAAAGATTTGGGAATATCAACAACCACTGTCTTTACAAATAAAACCTAATTTCAGAGCACTGTTTGAATACTCTAGACACGTACAAATCTGTAGTCAAGTCTCAAAAGTTAATAAATTCTCACCTTTTTTTGGAAGTATTTTTATATTTTAAATTCAGTCAGCTATGAAAAAAGCACAAGTTTTGATACAAAAACATGCTTGTAAGTTTTGCGAGTCTTTGGAGCATACCAAATCGTGATCACTACTGTAACGTATACATTGCATGTAGGGGTAGTAGAGGACTAAAATGGGAAGAAAGATATTTCTGTCATATAAAACATATCAAAGACATCACAATTTTAACATGTTTTTGTCGTTGGAATTCACAATCATGATGAAAGGTTTCGTTATTCAGAACTGAATGGATGAAACTTCTTTTTCACTCTGTGGACGATATTTAATTCTTAATAGGACTTTTAATTGTCTATTGTTAGAAGAGTTTATAGTTTTGTCTTCATTGATATATATTTTGATAGATAAAGTTCATTTGCTTTATCTTTTTCATACACGCATTCACCTTCCCAATTGAAAGGTTTCTGATCTACTCCGCTCCTATGTAATCGAAACCCTGGACCTGGGAAGATGACACCTATTCAGAGAAGACAATGCAACACACAGACACAGCAATCCTTGTTTATGACAATCATTTCAAAACTTCTATTAAGGTTCTGAAGGATTTCAAGAGATAACCGATCTTGGTCCCTACATATTGTTGAAATTTCTAAAGAAATACAAGAAATGTGGAGAATTTCATGTTAAAAGACTTCATTGAAGGAGGAATTTTCCCAGAGAGATTGTCGAATTACAGGAAGAAAATTGAATCCCACGTCATGTCAGAACAGAGGACCTAGAGGAGAAGAATCAATTGATGTTCCATCGATCTCCAAACGAGACAAATTAATAGAGAAAAGAACAGGCTAAAGAGTCAGCAACGTAACATCAAATTATTGCTGCGGGTTTGTTTAACTTGTCATACAAAAATGTTCAAATAACAGCCGTTACCAGTGCATAGAGAAGTCGTCATGTTTTATTTCCTGAAAACAATCGTGACTTGCCAAATCAAAGTTGTAAAAACAAAATAACTCGAGTTTCAAGCAAGATCTGTAATTGATCCTAGACATAAATCATTTCAGGGGTTCTCAGCGGAGGTAAAACTTGCTCTATACAGAACCAGGGAACTAAAATAAAGAATGATTAAATTACATAACTGTGCAGGAACTCACGTCAAGATTGGGAAGCTCTGAAGTCAATATAGATAAAAGAAAATCTACAATGTATCTGCACATTTCTTGTGAATTGCGATTCTTTTTAGAACTCCTCCATTTCTTTTGAAGATATTTATAAAGTAAGATTTGCATGATTTTTTCATAGAAAGTTGTTTTTATTTCAGTGACAACGAAATAGCATATCACTTGGAAGTTTCACAAACCTCGCTATTCCAGCGTTATCGATTGCCGCGCAGGCGTTCTGCGCTTAAAAAAACCTACTTCCTGTAATTAAAATACTTCAAAGCTGAGTAAGGGTCTATCATTAAGTGTTAACGATAGCTCGTTTCGGGAAAAAAACTTTTTTTAAAACGCAAGCATAGCGAACCAATATCACTTGCTTGTTTACAGTGTAGAACAAAACAAAGGGCTGTGGGAAGACCTGCTTGTTGTAATATAGTGAACAAGTCGTATACTAGTAAATATTTAAATTACTTTCACGTAAACTAAATAAATTATCGTCTACAATGAAATGTATGAAGGTAACAAGCAGTATTCAAGATCACAATACAAAGCAGGAGCAGAGCAAACACGGACGTCTAAAACATCAGGTGCGATCTGGTGCCAAGTAGAAGAGATTTCCAACATGCTAGTTGCATCTTCTTTAAGTCGGCATGCAACTTGTTTACGCTGACGTGGAACTTGCTTATGTCGACATGTAACTGTTTACACGTAATTTATGTTGACAAGTCAGATAAATATGTTGACATGGCTTTTTTTTATGTTGACAAGCACCTTTTTTGTTGAAATACAAACAATTATATTGACATGCAATTTATGTTGAAATGCAAATAATTCATGTGGTGAATATACTTAAATTCTCAAAATAAGTTGCATACCAAACATATTTATCTCGCAAGACAAAGCTGAAAAATTTGGATATTAGCATATTTACAAGTTGCAAATTAACATAAGTTGTAACTATAAGTCACATGTATATGGAATGGGCGATATTTGAAAATTTCTACGTATTTATCCGAATTCATTTCTCATGCATGATACTTCCTTATATATTTATGTTGCATGATGACATATTCATGTTTTATGTAAGAACATGCTTGCATGTCGATATTGAGAAAAAAAAGAAGAAAATACCCATGTGAAATCTATTTGTTTTTATTTAGCTTGGAATAAGGCATGCGATAGGTGTTTTGGATTGAGGTAAACATGGACATGCTTCTATACCCCATCATGTGTAAATAGCATACTCATAATCCATACAATGTACAACTGACAACAGTCAAGTAAAGCTGAAGCAGGGTTGAGCCATTTGTTCACTTTTTCATATTTAACGAAACCCAGATTACACTATATAATACCGTTTTCGTAAACAGCAAACTTTAAAACGAATGGCTCAATATTCAAAGTGCAAACAGAATCGCGGAAATAGATTAATTAATTATGAAATTCTTTTAAATAATTTGTGCGTGTTGGCGACACGACGGTTTGACGACATCTATGAAATCTCACAAATACATTCTACCTGTTTGAAGCCGCGATACATGATCTGAAGTTCCTTCTTGCTGAACTTGGACTTCCGGCACAGAACTTCAAGCCCTTCCGGTTTGTAACGAACCACTTGCATTTCCAGATCCTCCAAGTCATGATCTGAAACAAGGAGGAAGGCGACATTAGAAGATTTCATTTGATTGGCAATCCTTTGCAACCGTATCAAGATTCTTAAAAACCCAGCCATTTCTATCATTCTTCTACCAAGGAAAATCAGGAACAACAACAATCTTTTTAAATAATTTCAAATAGCAAAGGTTGCGTTATAATTATTACAGTGATCGGATACTACTGAGTAATTGGCAAAGTGATAGAAGTTATACCAGTGTAGACTATATTGCAACATGTTTAGGAATGTTTCTATCTTATCCAGTATTTGTGGATTTCTTGGGTCTTAAGTGGACATTTATTGTACCTTTAACATACTGTGCAGACCAAGTTTCTCAAATGTTTGAAAATGAAATTAGAAAAACAATTCAGGTATGAAAAAACAATACAAGATTTTCTACCAACGTTGTACTTCTAAACGTTCTATTTGTCATTCACGAAATTGATAAAACCCAAAACATAACAATTTTAAATATCTGCCTGATGCCAGAGTGTTCTTTGTGCCTGAGGCTTCACAATATCACTCTGTTCATTTGTTGTTTTTCCTCGAAACTGTCGGCATCACGGAAGCTGTTTTATCTGTTGCCGAGCTAGCTTTGTAGTTGTAAGCTTGTGTAAATATATATCGGTAGATCAACAAATAACATGTCAACGATCCAAAAACATCTTCCACACAACGAGAACTTAATTTGGTATCTATATGAGTGTCACCCCCGTGAATAGCACGCACTCGGCATCTGTGTGAATGCCGAAAGTATAAGTTAATTAAAATGTAACTTAATGTCTGGTTAATAAATCCTACCGAATAAAATTTTCAATAAGCTTCAAAAATCATGTCTTACGCCCAAAAGATATTGGAGAATATGTCATATTGTTAATATAAATCAATGCACCTGTTTTGTATACAGGACACCCCTGCTTATTTTTATGGATGGATGCCCTGTATACGAAACAAGTACTGCAGGTTTGGGAATGTGTGCATGATGTCAAATAAAATGCTAATCTATCCTTTTACTGAGAAGAGCATTGAGATGGACATTTAGGGGTAAATGCATACGTGCACTCCTGTTTCCAGAATATATACGACTTCGCATCTTTGGTGAGACGCACCTGTCTGACATTCAGAAGAGTTCAAACCCATAAACACTGGAATAGCTAGAATAATGACCATTTCTGTACCACTAATGACGTCTATAGCATTATTGTCTCATTTCCAGCTCAGAAAAGGATTCCAGGAGAAAAGAGCCGTAAGATACAAACTAAGTCGAGGATCGGCGTCTCCAAGCCAGAGGAATTGATTTTTTTCTTATTCTTTGCCTTTATCACGACCAAATTGTCCTTAATTGGACGAACACAGAACCTATTTGAAGAAATGTCTACAATTTGAAGTAGTTATCAGGAAAAAAAGCCAGCTCAATGCTGCAAGGCAAATTTCAAGATAGCAGAAGCAAACAAATTACGATCTAGAGAGACAGTCTGCAATTGTAGCTAAAAAAGTTTATTATTGCAAATTTTATTTTATGGACTCAAATTGATAGCACAACTAAAGAGTTAGTATATTTGGGTTTATCTGTTGTTCGATCTATGTTGTACGTAATATCAAACAGCTGGAAGGAAGCATACCGCCCTCCAATCAATTATGACTAATAAACATTACTACCAGTAATTCACAGTTTATAAAATTGATTTTGTAAAAACAGGATTTTATATTCAAAAGTCGATAAATTATTTCTCTTTCAAGTTCAACACACACATACAGAGAGGGAGAAGGAGAAAGAGACACAAACACGAGATTTGATGTTTGACATTGAATCAAGCACAAAAACAACACCGTCATTCAAAACACGAAATATTATTTCATCTAACAGTACGTCTATTTCTTTTAATGAAAATTGCATGGAATTAATATTACTAGGTATCATATGTAAACCGAAGGTAGATTTTAATTTAAAAGTCTCAGAATCTCTCTACTTACTGATACATTAACTTTTGCCTATAAATCTAATAACTGTAAGGTGTTAAATAAGGTTCCAGTATTTCACACCTTTACGACACCTTCAGTCAGGTACGCGTACATCACCGTTGGCTGCAGACGTTTCCGATTTTTTTTTAAACAATAAAATTAACGTTAAATAAAACAAGGCTGCAACATTGCTTTTTCATATGCAGCCATAAATCTCCAGGAAAGAAAAATAAAAGAACATTCTGAGGTCCTGGTGTCTTTTACTGTTCGCCCTTTGTTATGAATTAAGGATGAATTTCTCATAAATCACAGGAAGTTCTCCAAATCCAGACCGATGTTTGAATGAGACCATCAATTGCAAACTTATACATATTTATAATAAACCAATTAATATACGTGAAATATTGCATCTAAAATCAATTTACGAATGAAGAGAAGTATTGCTGGTAAGTCTTCAATAGCGCTAGACTTAGAAAATTTTCTTAACCTTCATTGAAGATGAGGCTAGAACTTGACATTAGAAAAGATATTGTGTTATATAAAAAGGCATTGTACCAAGTAGCTAGAAGACAAAAACTATTCGAACACACTTTACAATCTATGTTACAACATATTGTAAACAAAATATTTTACCCGAATCCAATACTTTGTCGTATATAGCTCCCATTTCAGCGGATTTTAATTCCAGATAAGAACTGTTTTTTATAAACAAACGATCGCCATTAATATTTCTTATAGATCCTGTCACACGTATGCTACAAAGGTCTTGACATTAGCTGTGAATAGCTTTGTTGTCACGATGTAATTTTTTTCACCAATGTCCCTGTGTATCAGTCGAAGCCCGAATTCTCGTTAACGCTAGTAATTGTTCAAACCTCCACGGAGAATCTGCAATCCTTTTTGTTACATTTTGACGAAAGTTTTAGAAAATGACTTCTGGAGATGTAATAAATGCCACAATTATCCACGGATTCCTCATCTTCCCGCACACGCACGCATTCTATATACATTGGATTGCCAGATTTCTTAGAATTCCAAAGTCAACACGGTAAAACAAATCTCTACACCAGGAAGCCAGAGCTAACTTTGGGAAATGCTAATTGCGGATTGGACACGCGGCTGAAATCACAGCACAGACCAATCCCTTGTAACAAGTGAATCGGTCGACAATCCGGGTGTTCGCGTACTAACTGTAATAAGAGATCGATACATGGTCCACAAGTGATTCACATTCAACAGATCGCAAATTACCAATTTACAGGTGCCCGCTGTCTCCTCTTGACAAAAACTGTACAGTACTTATGATCTGATGGTTATTTTATTATCTGAAAACGTTACCGTAGTGGTAATTGATTTCGATTAAACGCCAGACTTTAGTAATAATAGATCTATATTAAATTTGTTACAGAGACAGTATATAACAGGGTTTATTTAATAAAAAAATATCCTTGCAACTGGAGAAGCCCACACACAAGAAATAATTTGGTGCCTTTTGGTAAACAATGAGGAGTCAGAAGAAAACATGTTAGAGACCCTTCTCTTTAACATTAACTGACAGTAATAATTATGTTACCTCTGTTCTACATGCAACATCACCACTGAAATTGTAGTTCTTGTTTATGTTTTTTGTAAATGCCACTTATAAGTTTTAATAAGATGTTGGAAAAATGTAAAAAAGAGTCTTAGCGATTTTTCAGTTGATGATCTCACAATGCATGTAAAATTGAAGTCTGCATATATACTGGTCTTATAGAGTGCAGGATTTCCCCTCTAAACTCGTTATCCCCGGTAAACTGGCTCTAGAGTAGCACGCCCATCCCACTCCACCCCATCCACAGGAAAATACAGTAGGATCTAGAGTAGGATATGCCCCCCCCCCCCCCGGAGGAAAATGACTCTTGTAGATAGGATTTCCCCTACGGAAATCCCACATTCGTTTCTCGGGGGGTGAACTCCTACTCTGCTTTATAAAGTGCAATTTCCCGTGGTTGAGAGCCTACTTTTCACCCAAGTAAAATTGTTACTCTTTATACATGTATATGAGAGGGTATTTTATTTTATGCCTATTTCTTTAATTGTATTTCAAACTTCATATTAATTACGATATTGATCAATATGCACGTTTCTGTCTAAATTTCTAGTGTTTAAAAATATGTTTTAAAAAAAAGCTGCAGTTGTCATGGAACTGAAACTAAATTCATTAATTTTTTATGAAAAAAAATGAAATTTCGCAATACTTTAAGAGAATTTTCTTTCTGCTTTCTTTAAAAAATAACACTTTTTGAGGACAAGGAGCGTAATAATAATATATTTTTTTCAATAACATATAATATTCAACGTAGAAAGGTATGGTTTTGTTCGATGTGTTTTATTCAGCAAATCTCTCTTCTTTTTTCTCTCTCTATAGATGTTTTGTTCCTAAGATAGATTTTCATAATATATCAACTTATTCGAACATACTTTTTCTTTGATTTAAAATAATTTTGTATCTTCTTTGATCGTCATAGAAACTGAGTGTGAACATTCTTCCATTCATTAGTACAAGGATCAGTGAGTAGAGATCTCATTACTTAAGAAGAGAGACAAACAACATCTCGAGAAAATCACTGACGAAGGTGATTCTTGTAGCAAGATCATAGACAGTAATTAAAGAACAATCACTTAACAAGGGACACAGACGAAAGCTTATATTATAAGCAGAAACTCTGATCAATATGTGGAAAGGAAATGCCTTGAAGAACAGTCGCTTCTTTGGCTTGTCTCCTCGGGGAAGACGAGAGTTTTTGTTGACAATGAGACATCGATCAGTCCGTTACCACAGTGACCAAGTAATGGAGGATACACCGCTCTCCTTCAGCAGAACATCAATACCAGCCATCATTCCGCTCCGGTCTATCGGGTCCCAGGAAAGGCCTCGTTAAATCTGAGGACCTGACATTCAGATTGGCCATAATCTCAGCATCATCACGTGATTTTTTTTATTCGTGACGTCATACTTGCAATTTTAATGGTTCTAAGACAATTAGCA